AAAGTCACATCATCAACAGTGATGTCCTTCACTGCTTCAACGTTACAATCCATCTTCTTGTCAAAGTCATGACTCCCTCCAAATGATTTACAGCGTTGGAATGTAGGCGGGTCTGCATCTTCCTTCAACGCTGCTTGATTGTCTATAGCATCCGTTTCATTCGCATGTACCATTTGAACATCATAATCCCTCATTACTTCCTGCACGTCAACAAAATTGCTAAATATTTCTTCCACTTCGAAAAACTCCTCAGTCGAGTTGCTTTCGATTTCGATTTTGTCATCACTTTTTGCTGCTGAGGTGAGGTTTGGCACAATATGTTCAGCATTCAGAAAATGTACCTGACATATAAGTAAGTATTCCTTCAATTTTGAAGGCTTTAAAGGAAAAACTATGAACAGAAAAGAAACAACAGCCTACCTCTACTCTAAAATTTTTATGAAACTGCTCCTTGGCATCCCATAAAACATCAACCTCATCACGATTGAGCTTCAAACTGTTTGAATGCACAAAGGCTGTGTGAAACATAACTCTAAACATTACTTCCTCGTGTATTAGATCTCCATCTAAATGGATGCATTCAAGAACAACATCGCCTTGAACATGACAACGAACATCCATTTTTACAACTCTGCTTGCTGCCTGCAATGGAAGAGGGCACTCAAATATTTGCCAAATTCTTGTCATTGCAAATTTCATGATTTAGATTTTACCTGTAGATACTGGAGACCATTTCTTTCCATCTTTGCACTGGAAAAAAAAAGTTTTGGACTTCGGTTTCCTGGTGTTAAAGGGTCCGGACCATAAATGCGTATGATAGGCCGACACCCTTTTCCTCCATCAAGCATAGGAAGCTCTCGAAGTATCAGACAGTCTAAAATTAGAGGTGTATCAGGTATAGGCCAATAAGAACCTAGATTTCTCCTAGAAATATAGTGAAGGTATCTCATTTGAGAAGGCTGTGAGTTTACTGGAGAAAGGACATGGAGAAGTTCTGTAGGAGCTTGCCTGTAGACCATTTCAAGGGTCTTCTGCTCCCCCTCATATTGTTTACAGTACAATAAGAGAGCTGAAAGCATGAAAGCAAGGATTGGCCATCCTCCTCGTTCACAGTTCATCAACAATACATTTTTTTGTCCCTCCAATGAAAACCAGCTTTCACTCGACCGAATGAAGTGGTGGATCATCTCCAATGGCAGTAGAGGACACCCTTCATATTGCAGAGGATATTCCATCACTGTCATACCATATTGAGACAGTATGTCCCAAGTTTTAGTTTTCCTCTTTCGTTCACTAAAGTTAAACACCATGAAAGAAGCATCAGGAAAGTGGTCTTGCAGCTTTGGTATAATGCTACCCAAATATACTTTGTACTCATCCTCTTCCAAGACGTCCGTAGAGAAGCAACAATCAAACACTGAAGAAAAAAAAATTTGAGAATTTTTTCTTCACTAGTAGTAACATGGGTTTTTTTCTTTTAATAAAAAGAATGTCTTACAACAAAACGTTCATGCACTACAAAAGATTTTTATATATTTAAAAGAAACTTTAGATGAACAGAACCAGGCTACAAAGCAACAATTAACTACTTCAGCTTGCTTATTGTAGATCTTGCCCCATGACCATAGAACCCATGCAGTAAGGGGCGTTAAAGATACCAGCTACTCAGACTACTTGGCGTTAGAAAAATCTTCTACCCCACCCCCCACAATAGGAAAGAAAGATCATGGTCAAATTGTGAGATCCCGGTTGGAGAGGGAAACGAAGCATTTTTTATAAGGGTGTGGAAACCTCTTCCAAGCGGATGCATTTTGAAAATTTTGAAGGAAAGCCCAACGAGGACAATATCTGCTGGCTGTTACATATGGTATTAGAGCCCGACACCAGGCAGTGTGCCAGTGAGCACGCTGGCTCCAAAAGGGGTGGATTGTGAGATCCCACATTGATTGGAGATAGAAATGAGTGCCAGCGAGGACGCTGGGTCCCGAAGAGGGGTGAATGGTGAGATTTCACATCGACTGGAGAGGGAAACGAGTGCTAGCGAGGATGTTTGGCCCCGAAGGCTGTGAATTGTGAGATTCCACATCAATTGGAGAGGGGAACAAGTATCAGCGAGGACGCTGAGTCCCAAAGGGGTGGATTGTAAGATCCCACGTCGATTGGAGAGGAAAACGAACCATTTACAAGGTGTGTAAACTTCTACACAGTAGAAGCGTTTTAAAAACCGTCAGAGAAGTTCGAAAGGGAAAGCCGAAAATGATGAATAACAGTGGGCATGTACATAGAACTGGAGAAGAGAAAGCCTGTTAGGACTATGAGTACGTCAGACCACTCTAACCATACTCAAACGTGCACCAAAGTAAAGAACAGAGCTCAATTAAACAAACTTTAGGACACGATGCAAGCAGGAAATAACAAAGACAACATTTCATCATTCGCAGTCGCTCTTACAGAGAACAATAAAGAATTTGAAAGGAGATCATACCGTACACTCTCTCCGCAATCTCGAGAAGCCGATCTGGAGGCTTCCGGTAGAATAATTTTCTAAACAGCGCCATCAGATGGCGCTGTTCCTCCCCCAGTCCGGTCCAAATCTACGTCACCAGAAAAACAGGGGAAATACACCAACAAAAATCAACCAGAGTACAAGCAGAAACCGAAGAAAATAAAAGAAACCCAACACCCAAAACGTCAAAATAGAATCTAAAATGCACCAAATACCAAAGAAGAATCGAAAGGGAAAAAAAAGAAGAAGCAAGAAACAGAGTACGGAGCCTTATTTGACAACAAACTCAGCAAATGCGAGGAAAACAGAGTGGAAAACAGCTTGAGATAAAAAAATAGCTCAAAGGTACTCAAAAGAGAATGAAAATGGAGAATGAACACAAAATCATGAGAAAATCATAGACGAAAGAGCACAGAGAGAATGTAGGAGCAGAGAATTCGACGAAGGGACAAACTAACAGAGTGAGAGAGAAATGGGTTAAAGAAAAAGAGAAATGTGAAGAAAATAGAAGAAAGCTTCAGAACAGAGAGAGAAGGAAGAGAAGTGGAGCTGGAAAAAGGAGAGCAGAGAAAGCAGAGCTTTATATGCGGTCTGCTCTTCTCCACTTGACTTTCCTGCAACGTCAACTTTTTCCCCCCCCCAACGACGAAGAGAGAGAGAGAGATATGCTCCGTTCTGCTACGTGGCGTACACGTGGCACCTAGTTTTCATTTTAATTAACGACTTCCTTTTAATAATTTAAGTTTATATATTTTTATCCTAATCAATAATACGTCATCCCATTAAATAGTATTTTACTTAATAATTTCAGTTCTAAAATTACAAGTCAAGTAGTTGAATAATTAAGTTAATAGAATAAAATAAAAAAATCAAAGATTTTCGTTCCTTTTTGTAAAATATAAAATATAAAAGAAAATTAATGTATAGATCTTACCTTTAAAAACATGGGGCTGAGTAAATAAAAATCATATTCTAATGTAACCTTTATTATAAAGTATTAGTAAAATATTAATATAACTTAGAAACTTTTAAAGACCGATTTCTACCTCACGTGTAGTGCACGTGAAATAATTCCAAAATCATTTTTCTTTTCATAATTAATATACAAAGACCTCATTTAGATTTTTATGATAAATTCAATTTAAGTCATATTTGTAAACCATTATATTATTATTAAATTGAATATAAAAAAAAAATTATTTTAAAATAAAAAAATAAGCTTTTAATTAACAAATTTAAAAAAATATTCACTGAACTTTAAAATTTGGGTATAGTTTAGTGAATAAAGATTGATGATTTGATTTTTACCTCCACAATTATTTAGTGAATAAAGATTGATGATTTGATTTTTACCTCCACAATTATTTAGTGAATAAAGATTGATGATTTGATTTTTACCTCCACAATTATTCACGTAGTGACGAACAATTATATTCTTAATTCACACGATAAGATGTATATAAGGTTTTGAAACAGACCCCGTATGAAAATCATATGAAATCACCTCCATGGATGAACATGATTGGTGCCAAAAAGAAATGGACAAAGAATAAAAGTAATTGTGTGCTTGAGTATTGAATCACGCTTTCTCACTTTTGGGCTAAGCATGCCTTCGCATTTTTTTTTTTTTTTTTTTATAAGAGTGTTAAAATTTCTCCCTGACATTCGAGTTTTTAAAATCTTGAGAAGAAGCTCGAAAAAGAAAACTAAAAAAGAACAATATCTAAATTTGAGCTGTTACATTGATTCTAGTCAAATTTAGTAAAGGAATTGAAGCATGTAATAAGGATGTATGCTAGTTACCAAAGGAGATGAGGACAAAGGAAGAGGCAAATCATGTGTGGCTTAAGCAATGCTGGGCCTTTTAACATCTTTTCTACATTATCAATTCAATTATGGAGCCCTCAATTTCATGCCCCAATCTTCACCCAAATGGTTCGACTTTGTACATTCTAAATGTCATCTCCCTTTTGTCCTTGATTTACGATCTGATTTTTGTTCGTGTGTATATTAGGTGTCTTAACTCCTTATCTAATTGAAGGGTTCTATGAAGACAGTGATTTGTTAACAAATTTGCTGGACAAAGCTAGTAGATATTGTCCTCTATGGACTTCCCCTTCAAGTACTTCCCCGTGTCTATTGAGAAGAGATTTCCACATCCTTATAAGAAATGTTTCGTTCTCTTCTCCAACCGATGTGAAATCTCAAAATCCACCTCCCTTGAGAGTTCAACGTCCTCGCTAGTATACTACCCAATGTCTAGCTCTATACCATTTATAGCAGCCCAAGTTCACCGTTAACAGATATTGTTCTCTTTGAATTTTCTCTTCAAGGGCTTCCCTTTAAAGTTTTAAAATGTTTCTACTAGGAAGAGGTTTTTACACCCTTATAAGGGATGCTTGTTCCAAATGACGTTGGATCTCACACTTTTCTTTTCTTTTCATCGAAGCAATTCGTCAAGTGAGGACATCAATGTTTTCAAGTACACAGCCAATTTAGGAATCAGGAACATTTATAATAATACTTTCTCATCATATATCAGTACTAGTCTATACATTACAACATTGGAGGAAAGAATAATAAAAAAAAATGGCAGTTTGGAAGGAAATCGACGAGTTTGATCATCCAAACGTTTCGGCTTTCTTGAAGACATTCCGACGTGTGTATACCTGTTGTTTGTGTTGAACAGCGATGTCCTAACTTCCTTGGTTATGAACTTATTGCTGTGAAATCTTCAGCAATCAATAGTTTATTGGGTGAATGCCCAGTTCCCAAAATTTTCCAACTGATTGGCAATCAATTTTTACCTACAAATTACAAGCCCAAAAGAGAAAGGGTGAGCACAGATGATCCTAACATGAAGAACATAGGGACTGCAGACAGGAAGACAAACGAGCTCGCAACAAAGCTGCTGTGAGCTTCTAGTTGTCTGACAGGGAAGTTCTACCTTGTCTTTAAAACCATGTGGTAAACATATCAGAAGAAAGATGCTGACATTGAGGTGCAAATTTCAAAAGGAAAGAAACATCTGTACCATCAGAGCATGCGTTACAATACCTCGTTGAAACCATGATCTTCGAACTGTCTGTCGAATATGCCTCTCGTGTCTGTCTAGCAGTTCATCCACTCTGCTAGATTGAGATAACAAGGGCCCAGAATATTCAACTTTGTCCACTTGGTCCTGATAACTCTGTCACAAGATCAAATCAAGGAGGTTTAGGCCGTGGAACAAACCTTCCAATATTGTAAAACAATGGCACACATAAAAGGGCTGGCGTTAATGATCTTAAACTCACCAGATTATTCCTCTTAGCTCCCAGTTCATCTCGCAAAGAAAGTGCCACTGCAAAGTCCTGGGAGTGGTACTCATCCGAAGTATCAAAGGAATCAGGACGCTCAAACTTGCCCCACTGATTCCTTATCACAACCTTGGATCTCTCACTTGATTCAGGACCCTTGGAACTTGAGCGGCTCATGGATAACATGTCTACCTTTTCATGAAACTTGGACTCCAAATTGCTTCTTGATGTAGCAGAATGGTCCAGCCCATTAATTAGTTCTCCTCGTGAAATTGATCTGGAATAACATCGAATAGAGGCATCGTCTCTTCGTCGTCTTGCCCACGCAAAGCCACTCGATGTCGAAACTTGTAGAGGGCCAGAGAAGGGAATGTCTCCTTGAGATGCATTCGTTTCATGTATAGTCTCTTCCAGTTTATCAATTGACAGCTTTTGCGCCTGGTCAGCTTTGGTAACCTTTTCTTCTTTTAGATCTTGTGCATTAATACTAATTGTATGCAAAGCTCGAGCTGAGACTGATGAGTCCTGTACAACATTTTAAGCAGACGAATGAGAACCTTCCTTGCAATGTGATCGACACTAAGAATGGTAAAATTGTAAAGCCCGTGTCTGCCTCCTATGCATGCTTTTCATAGGTTTGTTTCTAAAAAGAAAAAGAAGAAGAAGAAGAAGAAATACCTCGGCTGGTGCCAATTTATTGGTTCCATGATGATTTCGCATTAACCTTCTGTTATCTAGTCCACGGGCTCTTCCACTATGTTTTTTCCTGAAAGTTTAAAATGCTATTGATTTTAGATCATGTGACCCAATTTTTTAAGTTTGGTTACTTACAAAGCCTTTACAAGCCAGAGGATGTCCCATTGTAACATACATTTTCAAACTATATCACATTGCTCATTGCTCATAGACGGTAACAGTCCAAGCCCACCGCTAGCAGATATTATCCATTTTGGCTTATCGTTGTTAACCACACAATTTTAAAATGCCTATTAGAGAGAGGTTTCCACACACTTATAAAGAATGTTTTGTTCTCCTCTCCAACCGATGTGGGATCTCACAATTCACCCCCTTTGAGGGCCAGCACTCTCGCTGGCACACCTCCTAGTGTCTGGCTCGATACCATTTGTAACAGCCTAAACCTACTGCTAGTAGATATTCCTCTTCGGGCTTTCCGTTACAGGCTTCCCAAACGCGTAATGGAGAAGCCTATAAGGGAAAGCACAAAAACCTTGAGAGGAAGCCCGGAAAGAAAAGCCCAAAGAGAACAGTATCTGGATGAGTACCGGTTCCGCAGTGTAACTCTGAAAGACGTATTTTAAAACCTTGAAGGGAAGCCCAAAGAGGACAATATCTGCTAGTGGTGGGCTTACGCTATTACATAGACACCCGAGTTTTTCACAATAGGTGGAGATAGACAACAGTCCACTACATGTAACCTCCTATCTACAAACAATTATTTAGTCTCATCTTTTTGTATCCTCCTTAAGTTTCAGATTCTTTTATGATAGAAAGATCAGAGAAACCGACCTTTTCGTCTCCTCTCTTTGTTTTGCATCAATCTCTTTGCTAGGTGGATAAATTGGCAAGCTTGATGGATCACATGCATACGGTTTTGTACTGAAATACTGAAAGGAGCCATAAGGATATAGTATTAGAATATTCATTGAACAAACTGATTACTTGGTCCTAGTATCCATAAAGTAATCAGCATCATTACCGCAGATGTAAGAGCAGAGGAGGCAACTCCACGCTTGTATGGTTCCACGGAAAGAAGCGTTTCTAGCAGGTTCACAGTCGTCGAAGGATAATCTTTGAATGTCTGGCGTAAGCAATTATTATATGGATGTTGTGGCTTGAACAAAGTGCCATGAGGAAGTTTAGACTTTTTCCAGTACTCATCAGGAGGAGAGCCGCAAAGCTTGAAGATCTTGTGTAGCTGTTCGACCTATTAGTTGCAAACGTAAAGTCAATATCACCTTTGAAAAAATATAACATATTTTGTAAGAACTGTATGACGCATTAAGGAAGACATATCAGTCCACTAACATCATCATTCATATTAAAACACTAATGTAAAATGTTGAATCATTGAAGAGTTCAAATTTCTTCCAAGCTCTGCTATGTTTCACGTAACAACTCAAACACACCACTATCAGATATTGTCTTCTTTGGACTTTTCCTTATGGGCTTCCCCTCAAGGTTTTAAAACGTGTCCCCTAAGGAGAGGTTTCCACACCCTTATAAGGAATGTTTCGTTCCCCTCTCCAACCGATGTGGGATCTCACAATTCACCCCTCTTGAGAGCCTAATGTCCTCATTGGCACACCACTCGGTGTCTGACTCAGATATCATTTGTAACAGCCCAAACCCACCGCTAGCAGATATTGTCTTCTGAGTTTCTCCTCAAAGTTCTAAAACGCGTCCCCTAGAGAGAAGTTTCCACACCCTTATAAGGAATGTGCGTTCTCCTCTCCAACCGATGTGGGATCTCACATTTGATAAATTTCTTCTTTCAAGTAACGATGTTCCAAAGATAGGCAGAATATGATATTAAGAAGTTCAATAAAGAAAAACATTACCTCTGTTCTTCCCTGAAGAATAGGTTTCCCAACAAGGAGTTCGGCGAAAACACAGCCAACACTCCAAAGATCCACAGATGCATTATAGTCTGTTGAACCCAGTAGAAGTTCAGGAGGACGATACCACAGAGTGACAACACGACTCGTTAGAGGTTGCTGGTGCCCGGAATTATAGAAGTTCGCCAATCCAAAATCAGCTACCTTTAATACCCCTTCGTTATCGACTAGGAGATTAGATCCTTTAATATCCCGATGCATTACACCGCGTGAGTGACAATGCTCAAGCCCGGATATCAATTGTTTCATGTAGCATTTAATCTACAGAAAAGGTAAAGAGCCAAGGATTCATTACTGTAATCATTGTTCATAAGAAAAAGAAAGTTCCATTTCCACTTCATATTCCGCAAAAGAATGCTCCCCAACTTTATAACTATATAAACGAAATTTAAACCAAGCATACCTGTGATTCACTAAAAGTGATATCAGGGGAGGACAAGAGCCCAGTAATGTCGTGGTCCATGTACTCAAACACAAGGTAAATGTTACATGATAAACGAGACGTAATTAAGCCCTCCAATTTGATGATATTAGGGTGATCAAGCCTGCGGAGAATCATGATCTCTCGTGCCATAAATCTAACACTTTCAGGCTCAAAATTGTCGAACCGAACCTTCTTTAAAGCAACAATCCTTCCTGTTTCTAGTTCACGTGCTCGAAATACACTGCTATACGTACCTTGTCCAATCTATAAAAATTCAACATCCAGAAGCAGAAAGAATTTCGTCCATGTCCATCCAGACCAAAATCAACTTTCTATACACACAACAACTTCAACTACCACCATATGAGCATTAGAAATGTCAACCATAAAGTTCCAATGAAATTGAAGCAGTTGCAGAAAAGAAGAAAAGATGCCAAAATGCTTTTTATAAAGCAGAATTCTCTGATTAAAAGACCAAAAATCTTTCCATGGAGGATTCTTTGTTTCTTAAATATACAAACATGGAGTGAAAAGGGATCATCAAATGCATGCAACTCCATCATGCTCCCACAGTGGCATGTTGAATTGATTGGACAAAACAAAGAACTAATGACATGTCCCCTTCCCCTAAAAGGAAGTATAATTATCCTAATCGACTATAAACTCAAGTCAACAATGGAAAAGGATGATTAGATGTATATAAAACTAGGATTTGATATGATTAACAAAGCAAAAAAAACAGAGATTGAAGGGTAAAAGAAAAAGAACTAAGAACCTTTTCCAGCTTCTCATAAGCATCGGACCGGAGAGGAATCCAACCTTGAATGGCCTCACCGGCGACAGCGCTGAGCCAGGCCGGCCACCCTGCCGCCACTTGCTCACTTTCAATATACTTGTTCAAATTCCCCAATCTGAAGCTCAAAGTCTGATTCCCTGCGCCATTTGAACTCGCCCTCCCCGATTCACCCAGCTCACTCCCAACCCCATAGAACTCACTGGACCCCTTCGACTTCCTCTTGGTCTTCGCCTTCGAACTCCTCTCAATCTCCCCCAACCCACATCGGCTACGACCCGAGCTCCCCACCGCCGTTGATTCATTGTCACGAAATGCGCCGGAGTGATCGAATGCAGGCGTCACGGACACCGCCTGCTTCGAGTTCACACACCCCATGGCGGATCACTGCAACTTCACAACCATTAATGAGAAATACAGATTTTAGGAAGCAGTTTAAGTGGACCCTGAAATGGGGAAAGTCGGAAATCAAATGGGTTAGCGGGAATGTTGATTTGTTTGAAACCCAAATGAAATAAGAAGGAAAAATGGGAGTGCAGTGAGGAGGGAAGAGCAGAAACAAGGAGGGGGTGGAGTTTTATACCACGTTACGAAGTCGGAATGTGAAATTTGGCTTTGGTTACTTCGGCTGTGGGAAAACAGTTCGTTTCGCTGTCTCTCAGTCACTGTGTTTTCGATCCATAATGCGGCGATTGCGGAAGATGGTGGATAGTAGAAGGCATTAAAGCGCGGCTCCACAATTGAGCACAGCGAGATCAACGGAAAGTGAAATACCCACTGCACCAACATAAGCAGTAAACAATGAAATTTGGGTGAAAAAACTCAATACCTTCCATCTATTTCTTCTTCTCCTCCAATCGTAACTTAAATCAATAAATAAAATAAAAGAGTAATTTGGTTTTTTCTGTGAAGTCTGAACCAAACCAAGATCGATGTGAAACGACGGAAAATGGGCAGAGTTTCGGGCAGTATGTGCTTATTCTCTGGTTTTGTTCCCTTATTGCACTTTTTTTTCTTTTTTCTTTTTTTTAATTGGGCTCGCATTTCTCTCGAGTCGTCGCGTGCGTGACCGGCAAATGGGAACCGGCCCCACTTTATTTACCCCGGTAACAAAGCGCGTGGTTGACCGCACCCAGCGTGGGAGTGGGTTTTAGTTTCGGAACTGGTTGACTGAATTTATTTATTTATTTTAGTTCAACAAGGATGAAAAAATTACTTTGATTTTTTTTTTTTTTTTTTTTTTTTTTTTTTTTTTTTTTTTTTTTTTTTTTTGGCCTCTGATCAACTTTGAAGTAGAGAACAATAACATGGTCGATGGACCGTGTGACTACCATCTATTTGGCTATAGAATATGCTGCAGAGATAGATGATGAGAAGGAGACATACTCAAATAATTATGGAGGTGTTCTAAATGAGGTGTCGCTTACGTTTTTGCAGTGACTAATGTTTCCGAAGCTTTTGATCTCAATTGGTTGCCCTCACCTCTTTGATCCCGTAAGTTCAACATTGATGTTATGGTTTATGCATATATTGGAGTTGGTGTTATCGTGTAACACTATAGGCAAAACAATTTTATCAATAGAGGTCTTCCAAAATTTATACGCTTCTCGAGATCATTTGAAAGATCTTTAAAAAGTCGATCTTTACCTGAAAATATTTTTTAAAATTCACATCTGGATTATTATTAAAAAAATATATATTTTAGGATTTTTTTTATTAGAAAAAAAAAAAAAAAAAAAAAAAAAAAAAAAAAAAAAAAAAAAAAAAA